AGAGAGAGAGAGAGAGAGAGAGAGAGAGAGAGAGAGAGAGAGAGAGACAGACAGAGAGACAGAGAGAGACAGACAGAGATAGAGAGAGAGAGAGAGAGAGACAGACAGAGAGACAGAGACAGACAGAGAGACAGACAGAGAGAGAGACAGAGAGACAGACAGAGAGAGAGAGACAGAGAGAGCGAGAGACAGAGAGAGAGAGAGAGAGGAAGCTGTTACATTGATTTCTGTAAGAGGCAGCAGATTGCAAATATTCCCTTTCATGTGCAAAAAATAAATATTGATTTGCTCCTCGTCTTTGGCAAACTCTCTGCAGTGACAAACTAAAAATAGTTTTTCTGAGTCAATCAAAAGCTCTGCCATACTCAGAGAGAGCCGTGGGGGAACATATAACTTAATATGCTTCAGCAGTTTAATCTGTGATGTTCTATTAACTTCTACACGTGGGAAAATTATTATCAGCTGAGATTAGGAGAAACTTTAGAGCAATGGTTGCAGCTGAAGTGACACATTAATTAAACACGGACATCTCGACAGGCCTGCCCTGCAGACACTCTGGCTTGTTTTATCACTCACTCTTATTCGGGTCTTACAAATCATAACAGTGCGGAGTCGACAGTGTCGGAAAGATAAACTGACTCATAAAATCTCACTCCTGGCTGACTGGCCGTGGTTCAGTCCCTGTCAGAGCCATCAATCTGCCGGCTGCTCGGTGTGGCAGCACACTGCAGCGCGCTAATATATCAATCTAGTATAATAAATAAATTAAAATAACTGTCTGCATTATGACACAGCAGAAGGCCTCGAGACGACCCACTCTAATGTTTTCACCTTGCCTCTCAGGGCTTCTATGCAGTTAGTTTGTTTTTTTATTTGTCCAGGTTGTGAGATATCCATTCCTAAGATTTCCACCTTTAAATTAAAAATTTTGATTTAAAGCTGCACTAATCAATATTTTCATATTAACAATAAATCAAATGATACGTGGAATGTTCGAGGGCCCGCTTGCAGTGACAAACTCATAGACAATTATTAACTTTATTGTGTGTTTCAGCTCATTGTTTGGGTTTTATGCCCCCCAACTTTACTGTTTATGGATCCCTTTTGGAAAAGCTCATAAAACTGTACACTACCTGTTCAGCACAGACAGAGTTGGAGACTAGCTGGGGAAATATAATGTAGCATTTAGCAGCTAAAGAGACACATAAGAGACCAAAAACAGACCTTAAAGGAGAGTGTGCGAATATTGGATTTACGTTCATCAGGTGACACGAAACATGACATTAATGCTAATAAGTGTGTCTGCTCAGTGTTTTTACAGGAAACTGTTTTCTAACAAATTTGCCACAACAACTCAAAACAAATACCTCAAAACTTGCATAAAACAACATAATCAAAATCTGTTAGTAAAATCTGTTATTTCATTTCTTATATTATACATTTTGGTGGATTAACCGTCAAAAACCCCACAGCACAGCGAAGAAAGACTGACCACACTAACTACACGATTATTCCCTGTTAGGCAGTTAGAGCTGTGTGGTGGAGCACATACAGTCATTGGCTGGTTAAAACTGGTTCACACCATCTTAACATTTCAACAGACAGTTCCCACTGAGATCGGGCTTGTGCTGTCCGCAGTAGAGCGGTACAGGAAATGGTCAAATGGTTTAATACAGGAAGTGGTTTTTGACATCTGATCCAGAGAAAGGAATTGTGGGTGTGGATGGCAGCCAACTGCACAGGCAAGATAGAGATGAGAACAGTGTTGCTCCAGACAGATCAGCGGATAAGCCTCTGCCAGACCATCAGTCAGCCTCCTTCTCGCTCTGCCTCTCCTGACACACACACACACACACACACACACACACACACACACACACACACACACACACAAACAGACACAGCTCACCACCTCAAACACACTCACTGGATATGTTAAGATTATAGTCTGGATCCAACTCTCTGCAGAGGGCAAATTGAGTCCAGGATGTTTTCTTGTAAACTGTTGTCATGTTTGTTACAGTCAGTCAGCAGGAATAATCGCTGAGAAGAGACGCAGTGAGAAATAAGAGACGGCATAAAAAACTCAGCCGTGGAGTAATTTGTGCACATTGTGCAATTTTTTGTAAACTCTTCCATACTCTTTTAATGTTGTAATGCATCATTTTTATTTGAAAGAGTTATTTAAGGCAGGGGATGCAGGTCATTGCTGTTATATGTTGTAACATAGATTCAGACTGCATGTTGCCCCTTAATTATTGTTTGAAGCTCTGGAGAAGTTGGGTGTGTGTCACACTAAAGACAGAGGGGGAAGTGGAACTATTTAAACCTGTACCACTAATTAAAAGCTCGAGTTAGTAGTTTATACATTTTCTACTTTTAGTAGTTTTTAGAAGTGTTGCAGTTGCCTCCTACAGGATGTAATGAAGGATTTCATTTAACTTTGGACCATTAATAATTACATATTATGCTTTGGGGGGATATTACACATGTGGAAAATTACAGTACCACACAGGGAGTGATGCACATGTTGTTTAGTTTTGTTGAGCAGGCCTTTAAAAGATTTTGTTTACCGTATTACATTTTTTCTCGGTCCACTGTGATATGCAGGCAGAGGCAGCACATTGTTGTCTAACATCATTTAAAGCTTTGGCTCCCAACATGTTTAGTGTGTGACGCCTTAAAACCCATATAAAGTGTAAGTCTGTCTTGATTAAATTTAAATTCTATGACTTAATAAGCGATCAAGGTTGTGGTTTCATCGGATTCAAAATAAACATACAGTAGCAGCAGAAATGCTGTAGTTTTTTACAGTTAAAATGTGACCTTTTCTTCTGTATATGTTTGCCTGTTCCTTTCAGTCCTCAAAGCCCAAAGTGAGCATCCCTCTGTCAGCCATCGTGGAGGTGAGGACCACCATGCCGCTGGAGATGCCTGACAAGGACAACACTTTTGTTCTTAAGGTAGAAACTGTAACCGTTTTACGACCACATTAACACAAGTGTACCTGCCTCAGTTATAGATATGATTCTATACAAAAATAGGTTGTTGTACTATGAGCTCGCCCCTCATGCCCTTGCTGAGTTAAGATTGGATTTGTCCTGCTCTGTGCCCTGATGTGGTCCTTTGAATGGAGCGCAGTGTGTGATCGCAGTGTTTGGCTGCTTCCACAGGTGGAAAATGGGGGAGAGTACATCCTGGAAACCATCGACTCGCTGCAGAAAAACTCCTGGGTTGCTGACATCCAGGACTGCATGGACCCGGGGTAAACCACCAGATAAATATTTGCTGTTGGCTGATTGAGAGAAGAGAGGGATGGAGTGAGAGGGAAAGGGGAAACACACACAGTCATTAATCATCAAATTAGTGGAGTTTTTGACAGGTTGCTTTAGCACAAACATGGGCGAGCTTGCACCACTGATATTCTTCCTCAGCTTCCTGGGTCGGTGCAGCTCAGGACATAAACAGAAAGATTATTTGTGTTCTTGTTTGTAGGATTTGGATGTGTGTTAGGACTCTGCGATGTTTGTTTGCACACACATGTGCGTGTGTATATGCTCTTGCGGTTCTCCTGACTGGCCTGCTTGTGTGCAGTGACAGCGGTGATGACATCGAGCTGGCGTCGTGTCCTCATGGTCAGGCCTCCAAAGACTGCTCCATGGTGGCCTCTTGCAGCTGTGAGCTGCTGTCTGAGGGTGAGCAAAGACTCTTCTCAGTTTTTCTGCAGCACCTGCTTTGTACCATTTAATTCTTTTGATCCACATGAATTTGTTAAAATACAAAAAAAACAATGTGTTTAGGTGTGTATCGTGCTCCGGAGAGGCCGTGTCCTACCGCAGCAGAGCATTACAGCGCCCCCTCAGTCCGTTGCAGGGAACCCCCCTTCACCCAGCACCCATCCCACATGCCTTTAGAGCGCTTCCTGCAGTCCCCAGAGGCCCAGGGCTCCAACTCCTCTGCAGGTAACAACACAAACATCTACTTTTCTCTGCAGACAAGTAATATCAAAGCATATACCAACACTCAAAAACACTAAAGAAAAGAAGATTACAGAAAACATTGAATTGTTTTGACTCAGGCGGCAGTGAAGGAGCGAAAGAGTCAGATGGCGATGCCAGCCTGGCAAGTTACCCATGGTTCCATGGTACACTGTCCCGCGTGCGTGCGGCTCAGTTGGTGCTTGCGGGCGGGGCCAGAAGCCACGGGCTCTTTGTGATTCGTCAGAGCGAGACGCGGCCGGGCGAGTACGTCCTCACCTTCAACTTTCAGGGCAAAGCTAAGGTGAGACGATTAAAGCGAGGAGAAACCCTATTATTATACGTCATAGGGGTGCAACTATTAGTTTTGTTTTTTGTAAATGTTTTGACAGTTGTATTCGGTTTATGTGTTCACTTTAGTTTATAAAATGTAAAAAAACAAAACAAATGTACTGAGTTTAAAGTGATATGAAATAAAATCGATTTGAGAAGCTAAAACCAGGAAAATGTTTTTTGTTTCACTTGATAACAGACTTAAAACAACTGTCATTGATAAATTTAGTGTTCTTTAAATCATGAATTATCTTAATTTAGGATACATTTATCTCTCCTCCCAACTGCAGTTTATTTCACTCACGCTTGTTCTAACGACATTTTGGGTTGCAGCCACTGCAGCTCACGGCATACCTAGTTATCCAGGCCCTGGAAAAGATGCAGTAATGTCAACATTTTGTGTTCTCTTATGTAACGCGATCCCTGCACATCACATCCTGCTAGCTGGCAGTGTCGAGGAAGTGTCAGCTGCCGCCTCTTCCTCTGGTGTCAGCCTTCTGCATTCTGTCGCTCTGCTCCCACAGCGAGACGCCTTTCAGATAATGTCCTGACCTCTGTCTGTTTCAGGCGTTCACTGTGTCTTTTTATTTCCCTACCCTCTCTCTTACCACCTTTCGCTCCCTCTTAATTCCTTTGAATCACAAACTTTTCTCCCCGACATTAATGTCCTATCTCCCCCTCCTTCCCTTCCTTCTCCCAGCATCTGCGTTTGTCAGTGAACGAGAACGGGCAGTGCCACGTCCACCACTTGTGGTTCCACACCGTGTCGGACATGTTGCGACACTTCCACGCCCACCCGATCCCCCTCGAGTCTGGAGGCTCTGCTGACATCACACTACGCTCCTATGTACAAGTGCAGCGAAGCTCCACCACAGGTACACAACAACGTGAAGTACAACTGCTCATACACCATCTTACACAAGCTTAAAACCAGTCACGACTCCTGGAGAGTTGATCAGTTGATGTCAAGACACTGTAAAGTTGTTCTTTTTAACATGTAAAGGCCTAATATTTGTACATAAAGGTGCATTACTCCACAATTTGTTATATCCTGATTAGATGCTTAATTAGTGCTTCATTAATATCAGGTGTGCTGGAAAGGTCAAACCATTCAGACTTAACTTAAGGTCCCTGAAAACACACAATATAGGTGTTTTATTTTATTTTAATGCGTTTTGTCTGCCGTCTGATTACTAAAGATAATTCAATATTAATAGAACTATAGAAATTAAATTTTTAGGCCAATATCAATTTTAAGATTTTAAAAGATATGATAATGATCTAATAGTCATATTTTACATAAACACAAACTAATTATACATGTTTTAAAGAAAAAGTCAACTTGACAATTGTTCCTCAAAACCAAAGCGTAGTGGAGGGCAATAAGAAACTTCCAAAGACATTAGCTGTACTAACACTGCTCCTGCCCTCTGCTCTCCTGGCATGGGATGAATGCCCTCCTGTACAGGCGAGTGAGGGGGCGATTATACCGCAGGAGTTTTGCATGCAGGCCGAGACTCCGGCCCCAACCCACCCTGGTGGTCACAAAGAGGCCCTCTGTTTCCTCCAACGCTGGACCTACACACGCTCATGCACTCACTCCCATACACATAGTTACATAGAGTGAGGGCTTGATTCAGGACGTGAAAAGCTTCACTGATACACTGGTCAGGCGAGTCTTTGGTACCAGTGTTGTCGGTGTTATTGCCAACCAACAGAAAGCATATTAATGGAGGCCCGCGCTGTCTCTATTTACCTGCTGCTCTCTGACGGAGCCTTTTGCTCTCAGGTGTAAACCAACAATTATTAGCAGCACGGATTAATCAATTCTGTCTTCTATTTCTTTCTTCTTCCCCACAACCTGCTACAGATGTGACTGTGCCTCCAGTTCTCACCCCACCCAGGGATGCAGGCTGCTGGACAGATTCAGCCCAGCCAGCTCTCCACCCTCCTGGGATCACAGCGCCTGCAGGTCCCCCTCCTGATGCCCCGCTCTCCTCCAGCACCTCCTCCTCACCCACCGCTCTTCCCTCACTCTCCCGCAGTGACCCAGGTACTGGAGGAGGAGTAGGAGGAGGGTTACAGAGCCGGAGCAACAGCTCTGAGCGCCTGCTGGAGGCCTCTAGTGGCGGATCTGACGACTACCACGACGCTGACGGGACTCGCAGGGCTCGGGCAGTGGAGAACCAGTACTCTTTCTACTGAGCGGCCCGGGGCAGGGTTCAGTATTGGAGGTGACATGTGACGCTCTGCTAATGATAAAAAAAAAACGGTCCAAATCACTGGAACGCCCATTATTTAGTTTGTTTGTTTTTCTTTCAAGGCAGTTTCCTGTTTCTCTTATATGAGAAGGGGGGTGAGATCATGGCGAGCAGTGCGTCCACGCTGATAAATCCATCAGGCCCTGCAGCTTCGTTTCAAACTCAGTTGTTGAGAATGCGAGTGAGCAGAGAAGGCCTCAGTAAGAAACGGACATGTGGGGAAGATGAGTGGGCGGAGAAAACAAGAGGAAGTCGTCCAGTGGAGTCATATGGCTTCGATTCATCTCTTCTGACCACTTCCTGTTCACCCTTACCCACAGTTCCCTGGGAGCAGAGCCTGTGTCACCACCCCGCTGAACGATTGAGAGTTTGAAATGACCCTGAAGAAACAGTCCCTCCCCTCAGAGATTCTCTGAGCTCCCGAGAGCATCCTATTAATGTTTGTAAAGCTGCTTTGAGTCTGTCCCGGATATCCTAACTGCCCTTGCAGGGTTTCCCTACAAATTCTGCTTTAACATCGGCACAGCAATCATGGGTGTGTTAGTGTTAGCTCAGAGATGTTTTTCTTTAACGGTGTACAGCCTAAAGGGTCTTAGTGCCTGACAATTACCTTGGACTAGAATGGACTGACAAGGAGGGTGGTGTTAACACCTCGCATAATCACAAAGGCCCAACAAGTGAATGCAGGGGATTACTTTACCGTCATTTTCTGCTTAAAACACACTGAACATGCATATCTTTGCGTACTGAAATGGTTTCGTTCTCACAGTTTTATTGGTGACTGTAACACACATGTTATGTTGTGTTAGAAATCAGTGTAAAAGTGTTGAAATGGAAGACGAACAACACAAGTTCAGTCTGTATGAACATGGCAGAGTGGCTCCCATTTTGCTGTCATACCAGACTATTTCTATGAGTGTGTGGTGGTGTAATAGAGTCCAAATATTTTTCAATGATCGGTGTGCTACAGTAATGTTTCTAAAACGTGGTTTTCGAGGTCCCTCCTTCTGGTGCTGGTTCTGTATTCAAGCTTATCATATCAATAACCTGTAGATTAGATATGCTGTTGCTATAGTTCACTTTGAAGTAATGCCTTGAAGATATTAGTAAACCAAATCCAGCATTAAGGCTATCGGAGGGACTGGGGACTTGTTTCTTTGTAGAAAGGTGGCAGTATTGTGCACCGTTTGTGCGGCCTGGTGTGGACTGGAACGGAACAGGCAGTGAGCTAAAGGGAACTCGATGGCCATGCTTGAATGAGAAGATGTGACATTGCTGCTTTACTTTTTGCTGACAGAGTGCTGAGTTTAAGCTTTGTAATTAATTGATGATTCAAAACAAAAACATCACATCACCAAGTCATAGTTGGACATTTTCGGAAATACACCTATTCACTTCCTTGCCCAGAATTAATTTAGAAAAATCAATACCACTCACATGTCTGTAATAAATATGATGCTCTACTGCTAGCAGATGGTTAGCTTATCTTAGCACAAAGACTGGAAACAGAGGGACCGTCTCCTCCACTGTGTGGGAGACGGTTCAGGGAGGCAGCATGCTTATTAATGAGCTTTAGATATGCTAGTAGGAGGATTTTATCATTTTTGTCTGAGTTGTCTTTGTGCTAAGCTAAATTAGCAGGCTGCTAGCTGTAGATTCACATTTACTGTACAGGTATCATCCTTCTCATAAGTCTTCTTCCCAAAATGTCAAACCTTTACTTTAAAGCGTGGTAGGCACACCTGAAAATATGAACAGAAAAGCATACTGTATTTTAGACATATGCAACACTATTGTTAAGTTGGAATAAACATATCAAGAGTCAACGTCTGTCTCTTCAAGTGTGGCCATTTAGCTTTAAAGGTGAAATTTCAGTGTCAGTCGAGGAGCGGACGGAGCAGTTCATGTGCCAATTTGAATCCTATTTTTGAAACATTTATTCCTAAACCATAAATAAACTGTAAATTACATTTTTCCTATCGAGTGTTATTTATGTACAATTGATCGATTCTTCTTGATGAAACAGCCTCAGTGGAACCCGTGTGTTGCAAGAGCCCATATCACAGATTGCTCATGCCTCCCTTTTATTTTCTTAACACTTCTTAAAGCTAAACTTTCTGTTGTCTGACTGCGTTTTGAAGAGTCTGTGCAATTTTGTACAAAGTGATGTACTTGACATACTACTTTATATTTCTGTGAATAAAATGTGAACAAACTATTGTGCATTTTCTGCAGTTATTAACTTATAGATGTCACAATCTGGGTGTTAAAGGCTCAAAGTAATCTGATTAAGTTGGCTATTTAATTTTAGGGAACCGCTCTGTAGAGATAATTTGTCTCACCTATATTTATTCATCTGTATTAAGAACAGAAGTGTCACGTCATCTGGTCTTTTTTTTTGTTTCGGTTCATATTAGATAAAACTGCCTCGGTTCCATAATTAGGTCGCTATGTGAACACACTTTGAGTTGTTATATATTCAGTGCCAGTTCATAAATGTGTGACAGCTCATGAACCAGATCCAAAGATCCTAGTTTCACTTGCTTCGACCACTTCAGTCAGTTTAAAGGCTCAAATACTTCTTGATGTTTCTAATGTGTAGCAGCTTCAGGCAATAAGCAGACAGACAGTCAACCACAGCAGCAGCAGCTCTTTGCAGGCCGAGACCTCCATAACACGCATGAATATAATGTATCGTTGCACACAGTTTAAACTCACCGAGCCCCTCGGGCTTCCAGCTGTAACCCAGAGATCATTCTGATCTGAGGTACTCTGACGCCCTCTAGAGCTCACATCTTATAACATTGCAAAAGAAATAACAAAAAAAAAAACATGCTGGGTAATTGGAACAGCATATTTACTATGATTATTGATCAATAAAACCAGATTAAAACACAGTTTCATGAGATTTGCTTACAGTTTCCCTCACACAAAAGTCACCATAATGTGGCATTGTGTCTGTACAGTACATTCACATATACACACTATAACACCTGGAAGAAGGCACAGAAATGTGTATTACTTTCCTAATGATCTTGTAATTGCACACTTTAAAGTAACTTTCTACACAACAGATCCAGTGTATAGGAAGACACACTTTAATAAAGTCATCCTTGTGCAGTATTTGGATGAACCGAATTGGGTTTGTTGTTTGGCTTCAGACTTGTCACTCCTGGAAGAGAGTGAATAAATAAATGTTTACACGTAACTTTACAACTGGTTGAACAATTGTTGATAGAAAATAGAACCGAACCTAAACATATGTTTACATCAGGTTTGCTCATGTTGCACTTTTACCAGATTGTGATTACGTCACTCTGAAACAAATTGTAAAGTAAATTAAATGTTAATTATGGAATCACATGAAGGAGCTTCATGCTCAAACGGTTGCAGGAATAAATAATTCCACATCCTGCTATGAGGTTTTCAGATTACCGTTTTGGATCAATCACCCGTAGGTAAGTGTGTGTGTGTGTGTGTGTGTGTGTGTGTGTGTGTGTGTGTGTGTGATGTTTGTTGTTGCTTTTTAGATCCTATTCATGAGGGAAACAAATATATTCAGTTGCTGTCTTGATACAATGAGTGAGTGGACACAGTTTATGAATAAGAAGCCTATCTATGGCCTGTAAGAGATGAGACACAGTTATCTGGTGTTTGTTGACTCCTGCAACTCACTAAAAATAATCGTTTTCAACTGTCAGAAGCTGTGCAACACTTGCAAAACAGTCCGAGGTAGCAGCCCCCCCCCCCTCCCTGAGAGTCCTCACATGCAACCCCATAGGTTGCTGCATACCAGGTTGCTGCTTCTATTTCAGGGCTTGCTGAGATTGACAAAAAGAAAGCCTGCCATGGCCAGCAGCATCACCACGGTCATCTCCATCACTTTCCCCTGCCTCCACTTGCTAAGAGTCTCCTTCTGTTGCTCCTGCATGCGCTGCTTCCTGGCTTTCATGTCCCGCTCCCTCTGCAGCTGCTCCCCGTAGTGAGCCTGAAAAAAGGCGTCAAAATCAAACATGGTCTTCTCCCCGGCTTTGGAGAACCGCCTGGCTCTATAGTGATGCTGCTGCTGCGGCGGCGGCGGGGAGCCTGTGGATCTGCTCATAGTCTCTTTGGAGGACGGCCTCCCTGCACTTTGAACGTCCGACCTGCTCAGAATACCTCGGTCATACTTCATCCTCAGGCTGATGTTGCCCAGCACTGTGTAGGACTCGTTGATCTCAGAGAAGCGCTGAGTGGCCTCCTCGTTACCCTGGTTCTTGTCAGGGTGGTAGATGAAGGACTGCTTGTAGTAGGCCGTCTTGATCTGGGACTGCGTGACACCGGGGGTCACTTTGAGGGTGTCGTAATAGGACGTCCTGCTTCTGTGCAGCAGAGGGGCACTTTTTGAGCTGCGGTCACTCCTCCAGCTGTAGCCTCTACTACCATCAGGATGTAGTTTCAGACGCCTCGGTCTCTCTGACCCCTGCTCTGCCAGAATGAAGATGACAGTGCAGAAAGCTCGCAGCTGCTGAGGGGACCTGAGGGTGTCAGGGTGGATGGAAACAGCTCCTCTGGTCCAGGGTGTCATCCGGCCGGCCAGCAGCTTCTCCTGGAGGAGAGGCTGCAGTCTTGCTGAGGCGCACAGGGCTGCTGTGTGAGCTTGCAGGCTCTCTCTGATAAAACGGGATGTTTGCAGCTCCAAAGAAGCGGCACAAAATAAAGTCACATTTCCCCGTTGACTTTCACTTCTTCTCACTCTGGAAGGTTTCTCTGATTTGCACTGTGTTGCTTTGCCTCTTGGCTGAACGTCACGTTGATCGCGGGTCCATTCGTCTTTTAACCGACTGTCACTGAACGTGCAGTGAACCTGCAGAGATCCGGGACTTTCTCCGGTGCACACCGGTCGACTCCGGCTGTTTCTGAGAGTGGAAAGCCGGTAAGCACCGGTGCCCAACTTCTGACCTACCTCAGCCATTTTGCCGACAACGGTTCGGCTTGACTGATGACGCTGCATCCGGCCAGCCTACGTCACTCAACGAGCAACCAATAGGAGTCAATGTTTACAGGAAGTACATTTCACACCCGACCAATCATTTTACAGAAAACTGTAAACCGTAAATAGTTATGTAGTTCTTGGATAACATCCTGTTATGTAATGACAAACTTTTAAGATCTGCTTGTCCAGCAAAAAAATAAAAGCTATATAATTATAATTATAGGGGTGGGTTTGATTTGGAGTTTAAGGTCTGTCTAGTAATAATGGCCATGAAACTGAAGGACACTATTTTAAACGTCTTCCTTTAAATTGATTATTCAAAGCCGTCTACTAAAGATTATATAGATAATTGGGCCTCAGAAATGTAATTAATGATTTTAAGGCTTGTTTTTTAAAGGCCATGCAGAACAAAGAGTTTCAGTGAAACACCTTGATAGATGACATTAGCTTGAATATAGTGTAATTTAACATATTTTATAGAATGTTTTTAAATATGTGTTTCAGGCATGTAATTCATTTATTTATTTTTCATGAATTTAATCAATAATACCGATTGGATTATATCCCGAGTCTTTTAACAGATGCAATATACCTGCATGTCATTTGTTTTGGTTGAAAGAAAAATAACTATAAGAACAGGTTCATTATGGATGAACGATATGCGCTTTTGCATTAAAATAACGTGTCAATTATATGTTTGAATGATTTAATACATGTTTGCTTGGTTGCACACACGGTGGCGATATAACCGTCTGTTTTTAGCTGTGTTGCTTTTATTAAACTCAACGAAGAAGAACTTCTTACGTCGCACGCGTTCGACGTCATTGGTCTTCACGTGTGGGCTATCACAACATCTAGCTTGTTTATGAACTGATATTACACATTTTCTCTTCATCTCCAGACAGCGACCCACACAATAGGACAACCATGACCTCCAGCTGTCGACGGCCTGAACACTCAGCTCCTCCAGAAGTGGTGAGTGACGCGGTTTATTGTAGTGTTTCGATGCTAAGCTAACGGTAGCAGCAGGAGCAGCTTGGCTCTTTAAAGATATAATATATCAATATTTTAACAGGGAACTGAGTACGTGTTGACTGGACGGCAGGCTAACTATCGTTACTCAATTGTTGTTTTTACAATAGTGTAATTAGCTCTAGTTTGTTTGTTTCTCATATATATATATATATATATATATATATATATATATATATATATATATATATATAAGTAATTTGTGATAGTCATAAATAAGAGGCTCAAACTGGTTCATTGAAGTGTTGATGAATTAATCCGATGTGATGTCATCCCCGCAGTACTACAATGAAGCCGAGGCAAAGAAATACTCTCAGAAGTGAGTCTGTGTGTTTATTATGAATAACTTCTTGTCACTGTGGTCGTTATGTTTGTAGGATAAAAACTACCCCCCCAATAATATAGAGCTGCTCGGGTGTATTTGGAGAATTGAAATGCTTTAAGAATGACACACGCAGTAGTGTGTCGGCTACAAATAAATCCACCAGCAAGGCAGAATTCCCTGTTTGATTCTGCAGCTACAGAGCGTTGCTTCAGTTGTGTGGAGCAGAAATGTGCATCTTCTAAATCCAGCATCAAATCTGGTGGCACTTAACCACATGAAGGTTGAACTTGTTTCTTTAAGAACGTCTTTCCATTGCCAGAAGTCTCTGAACTCTCCGGGTGTTTTGTTGCTTCGCAGCTCTCGAATGATTGAGATCCAGACCCAGATGTCCGAGAGAGCTGTAGAGCTTCTAAACCTGCCGGAGGGACAGCCATGTTTCCTGCTAGATGTGGGGTGAGGGAGTGACAGTGACTGCGTTCACATGTAGCGTTACACTTTTAACTTGATTAAAGCAATACTTTGAGTATGAAATGATACAATATGTCATTTTAATGTTAAACCTACCATGAATACGGTCATAGTAAGACTAAGCATGGTCTAAAAAGGCTCATTGAAGACATGTTTATAAATGTTTACACATCAATCTGTTGTTGACTTTTGCTGCATTTTGCCACACAAAATGTAATCCGTCTTCTTGATGATATATACTTCAGCATTCTGAATGTACTCTAGTTTGGAGATGAAAAATGAACTTCTTTAAGTCGAGCGGCTTCGCAGAATCTGCAACTTAATAGAAAGTTGGAGTTTTAGATGCAGTGAGTTAGCGTGAGAGTTGTAATAGTCTCGCGTTATTTTAACATAACGCATTGTAAGATCCAGAATAATACCGTAATCTTGTGTGTTCTTGACGTGAAGGACTCAGGTGACTGTCTGTCCTCTGTCTCTCAGGTGCGGCTCTGGACTCAGTGGAGACTACCTGTCAGAGGAGGGACACTACTGGGTTGGGGTCGACATCAGCACCGCAATGCTGGGTTAGTTTGACACCGATACATTTAAACAGGAAGCAAGAGCTGGATGATGTACCAATATATTGATGTAGTGATATTATACTAAATATCATCTGAGATTTTGGATTATGTCAACAATAGTTATGTTGGTTGTGTTAATAATTTGATATTCAAATGTTATCTTTTCGTGGTTTAAGTTCAATTAGTTGAGATAACTTTCTGAAATGGTGAGACTGAGAAAAACTTATTGAATCAGAGTTTTCAGTTTGATCCCTCTGGATTATAAATGTGGATATGTTTCTGAAACATCTCTGTGACAGATGTTGCACTGGACAGAGAAGTGGAGGGAGACCTTTTAGTGGGGGACATGGGCGAGGGGATGCCTTTCCGAGCCGGCACCTTCGACGGTTGCATCAGGTGAAGAACAGAACATGCTTATGTTAAAAAAGAAAAAAGACATGTTTTTTATTTATTTTTTTTAATGTTGAATAATTTCTGACATTACCTTTTGCATTGTTCCCGCTCAGTATCTCTGCTCTGCAGTGGCTCTGTAATGCAGACAAGAGGTCACATAGTCCTCCTAAAAGACTCTACACCTTCTTTAGTACGCTCTACTCTTCTCTGGTAAGGTTTTATCACTCCTGTTGACTTTTTCAACTAAAATCCAAACATCAGGGTTACATATTTTAGGATGAAGACCTTTGCTTACTTCTCCTGACTCTTTGTCTTTCAGTCAAGAGGCGCACGTGCGGTTTTCCAGCTTTATCCAGAGAACTCCGAACAGGTGAAATAACGTTGTGGATTTAAAACCTGATGTTTTCTCCAGATTACTTGCGTTCAGTCTTCTTCTTCCCTCTCTAAAGCTTGAGCTGATCACGACGCAGGCCATGAGGGCAGGCTTCGGTGGAGGCATGGTGGTGGATTACCCCAACAGCACCAAGGCTAAAAAGTCAGTAGCTACGATAAAGCTGGGCTTTTTATTTTGACATGTTCAGCTGCAGCCTTCTGCAATTAATTCCTTCTTAATGGTCTGTGAAATCAGCCGCAGTGTACTCTCAACAGAAGGCTAACTGGGAACACAAGGACATTCATATCGACTCGACTGTTTGTCACATTAGCTTTGTGATGTATGAATTATTAAAATGGTCAACCTGAGTTACTCAATCATTGACACACATCTTGTTTGTTTCCAGGTTCTTCCTGTGTCTGTTTGCTGGAGTAACAGGAGCCCTTCCCAAGGTAAGAATGAAAGGAGTTAGCTTTAGTGGTGCTGTGTACATTTGATTTGGCTACATTATGATCACTGTGATCTCCGTTTGTTCTTTTCAGGGATTGGGAGCAGAAACCTCCGACAGAGCGGTTTCAAACCAGGTCCAGTATTCAGGACAAAGGTAAAGTTATTCGCAGCAGGGAGACACTGCTTATTGTGATGTTTTGATGAAGCCGTTTACATGTTTGGAAGTAGCAGAGTTTGCTTCGGTCACCAGACTTCCTTTTGTATTTTTTTGTTTGTTGATGTATTTTATTCATTGTTTTTTTTTTTCTAGTTAATTGTTTGATTCTCTCTTTTTATATGCCGAACATTTGTTGGTCTCAGATTCTCAAATGTGAGGATTGGCTGCTTTTCTTTATCTAATATGACGGCATACTGAATATCTTCTGGATTTCTTGTCTAGTCACTTTTGAAAATTGAGCTCTTGGAAATTGTGATCACCATATTGTCTTAACATGTTATAGACAAAACGATTAATCAAGGAAATCGTTAGTTGCATATTAAAACAGCCATTTAAAAACAGGTCTTGGCCCTCATACGTGCAGGTTCAGTCATACCTGCTTTGATGAAGCCGAAAGACCGAGAGAAATCTTGAAAGGGTCGTTGTCCTGTCTAGCTTCAAACCCTGTCGGGCAGCTTTTCCTCCCTTTTTACATAGTGGCGTTCAAGTTGCTCCTCCTGGTTGCACAAAGAGACTGGATGTGTGAAACATTCAGCAGCAGAGGCGAGGAGTTTTAGATGTGGTTTGTCACAAAGAACAATGTGCATTGTAATTGAGCTAATCAGCCACACTTTGTCTCTGTGAAGATGCCGGTTCAAAAACATGAAGGGGAAATCGGCGAAGAAGGGACGAGATTGGGTCTTTGAGAAGAAGGAGAGGAGGAGAAGACAGGGGCGGTACGTACTAATAACTACACGGTGCTTTAAACTCTTTCAGGACAAATATTTGAACTTATTATCTTGTGCTTAAATATATATTCTCTAAGTAATGTAATATACTCGGGTTTAGATTGAACTGAATCTCCTCTGGTTATCTGTATACTGTAACACCTGCTGACGCCTCTTCTCTCTCTGCTGTGTGTTTGTTGGCCTGCAGGGAGGTTCGAGCCGACACAAAATACACTGCACGTCAGAGAAAACCTCACTTCTAAGTGACTCGTGCAGCTGTGCCTTCATTAGCTCTCGTCTGTACCACCGCACACAATCACCCCTCGAACTGCAGAGTGTTTGGACTCAAACTCCTTAATCCAAGTGAATGAGATGCAACAGTAAAATGCTATTATGGCCAATCATTTTCCACATTTGGTTGAGTGGCTGTTTGTTTCTCACAAATAGTGGGAAGATTGTCCTCTCCATGAAGACACCAAGTACATGGACAGACGTCCGTACTGCTCACAGTGGAGACAGAGTTGGCATTGACGGCGTCAACAATGTCAAAGAATTAAAATAATGTTTTCTAAATTATCAAATGCCACATCTCTGATGAGCCTTTTATTAAAGATCTGCCAATATACTTACTGTTTATTTTTCCAGAATTTAGAAGGAATTGAACTAACGACGTCCATGCATTTGTAAAGGCTGCACACTTTCAGAATCCTATGTTACAAAAGCATACATGTACAAAATGATCTATGCAAACGTGTTGGTTTGCCCCGGACGTAGTGACAGTTCATTACGTTAATGCAGGTTTCTAAAATGGGAGAGTCCATATGTAGAAACAAGATGTTGCTTATGAGGGGAAAAGGGAACTAAATAAATTCTTTCAAATCCAATGACACATTGCTGCTGCAACTATCACTAAATCATTTTGGAAAAACTTATTTTTGTAGACTTGATGGCTTATGCAGATTGTTAATATCATAAAATACCTACTGTATAACATAATGAAGAAATGTTGAGTAGTGAAAAGGTGATTAGAATTTGTGTTTAGCATAAAACCATAAAACATACATTAATGGATGAAAGTCCCACATGGACATATGAAGGCATTTAAAAAAGGAAAACTAAAGGAACTCAACTATATCTTTTTTTTTATGCAGTTGTATAAGCAAATATATTACACACTTCTAAGTGAATTGTATTAAAATCCTCAATTTATTCGGAGGTATTTTGCTACTTCCATAAGTGTGCGTCACGTGCAGCCGACAGAGGTCGCTGTGCGCTCTGGCACACTGGGAGCCACCTGGGCGTTATCTCTGGACCTGCTCAATCGATAATCAAACCCACCAGTGTCACCACTCAGCCAGCCTGCTCCAGCTGGACGCTTCTAGTCAGTCTAGCTTCGACAATTACGGACTGACTTTAACGGAACAAAAATAAACTTACAGAGAAGAGGTTCGCTTCAAAAGGCAGATCAATTAGTGCGGATTGAGGAGGAAGTTGAAGGTGTGTAATGGGTTAACGGCGGAAGGCCTCGCCTCACCTTTAGTGCGCGTCACCCGGCTTCGTGAAGTGGTCCCACCAGCCAAACCAAAGTGGTAAAATCACCTCTCTCCGCCGCCAGACGCGCACCTTCGCCTCGGTCGCTCTCGCTTCATCCTGTCGGTCTCCGCCCCGCCGCTCCATCACCACGCACGCACGCACGCACGCACCCAGAAGACATCGGGAACTGAAGGAATAAGAGTGATTTACCGGAACCATGAAGGACCGTATGCAAGAACTTAACCATGTAAGTTACAGTTTGATTCCTGTTAATGTTCAGCATTCGCCTACTCTGTGAATAGCCGCTTTTTTGAAGACGTTTTTATTTGACATTAAAGATGTCTTCAGACGGCACTCAGCCACAGAGCTGGGCGCGCTGATTGAGCAACAGTTGGGACTCTCGGGGGTGTGTTTGAGGCTAAAATGTTGTTTTATTACAAGCAACCATCGCGTATTACTGTCGCGCATTACTGTGTGGCTGAAGCAGGTTAAAGCCCAGCTGAGATGAATGATTCAGGTGTTAAATCAAAGTAAAATTCATTATCTCTCCATTCTCCAGGCGAAAAATCACTTTGACCTGTCTGTTTATGGCTATTACGTCCCGGGGACTCAAGAGGGAGATCATAGGATCAGACATTCTGTACTTAATGATATTTAATCTCGATAGGGTCGTTAATTTAATATGCGATTTTTATAATTAGCATTTTATTGTCTATTCAGAATTTAAAGTTCACCAGAAAGGGTTAGATTGCAACTTGTGTAACCTGTGTGGCAATATATTACCAGCGAATTCATTATTGTGTGTGTGTGTGTGTGTGTGTGTGTGTGTGGGTGTGTGGGGTTTGATCGATACGGCCAATATGGGTGTGTGATTTTAAAATGGTAAATTGGTCCCAGCTCGCCCATTTCACCTGATGTTTGCTCTGCGCGTCACAGACGCTGTCATCCTAAAATAACCATTAACCACCAACAAGCACCATGTTTTGTCTTTTCCTAACGTTTCTATTGCAGTTCATAGAGCTATATGCAGAGAGCCGGGTGTTGTAATCTGAAATTAATTTACCATTTAATCTCCGCAATTCAACCCTCAATGTCTTCATCCTCTAGTCTAATCACGCAAATACAGCTTTGAAATCTTTTGGATTCTACGTTTTGACTAAACTCCTCCATAGAAATGCTGCTTGATGTAGTGTGTGTGTGTGTGCGTGTGCGTGTGTTAAAGTGGCCATTGTTAGATCTGTATAATTGACAGTTAAACTGAGGAGGGGGGCAGTTTATGACTCCTCAGTTTTTCGATAAGATCTATCTATGAATTGGCCTCAAGGGAGACAACCCAGGCCTGTCAAGTGTGTGTGTGTGTGTGTGTGTGTGTGTTTGAGAAAGTGTCTTCAGCCTGCCACACTAAATCTTCCTCATCAGCTTCAGAGAGAAACAAATATCCAACCTACCGTTCGGGAACGACAGAGCTGTAATGTCAGCTGCTGATTCCGTTTTATTTTATTATTTTTGATCAAATCTTCTGAGAAATGGCAACAGGAGCGTCCACAGCCAGACCAATTTTAGGCAATCCAGACCAAATAAAATAGAAGTAAATTGCATGTCACAGACTGTTATTTCCCATCAGCACTAGATTGATATTGTTTTGTATTTGCAGCCTGGAGTTAATGCAGCTTCTTGAGTCTCATGCAGATGGCTCAGTGGGTCTGGACAGCACATTACAACAGCACAGTGTTGGATACATGTGTGATTGTATAAAAGCTCTACACAAGGGTACAATAGTCGAGGCCTGCAACTAAATATTACTTTCACATATGTCTTCCTTTTTACATAGAACTCAGAGAGCTGAGCTCTATGGATTCTGTGTCTTTGTGTGCTTTTGCAGAGTCACACTGCTAGTTTACTCACCCATGTGCTTTTGTGTCATTTTGGTAGGAAACTGAGTTTTGCTCATATTCGTGTGAGGGTGCAGGTTGTGCTCCAACATTGCCCATATGCCCATGAAGCTACTTTATGAGCTCATGAGCTTGCTGCCTGATAACTGTCAGTCTCTATAGCCTAACTAAAATGCTCATGCAGCCTCGTCCCATCACTCCCAGTTGGCTAAGCAGTGATTTGGTGACAGATGGCGCTGATAAGATGTTGTCAGCCGTCTTCAAGCTCTGAAACCTAAGGGGGAACATAATGATGAGGTTATCGGAGATTTTACACGTCACAGGAACCATTTTCAATCAAATGGGATTTCTTTATCTCGTTCTTTTTCCTGACGTTTTATCAGCTCTGTCTTTTTTTTCTCTTCCGTCTTGTCGTTTGATTGACCGTATCTGCCTCTTTTCCCATCTCCATCTCTTTTTAATAATAAGGCTCTGTTTTCTTTCTTCCTCTCGGGGAGTCGAGTTCCTCCGTTATTGCTCTTTGCTCTTTTCCTGTCAGTGATAGATTTATCAGATGGCTTCCTGTCTTCCCCTTTACTTTCCTTTCTCCCCTTTCTCTCCTCTGTGCAGCCTTGTTGGTCAGTGTTCGAGTTGGTTCAGGCAGAACGATTTGACCTCGTGACATATAATTCATTAAACTACACTATTTATGAGACCAAGATGATGCATGACTGATGAGGTTTTTGGCTTGACAGATACAATAAACGTTATCCTCCATAGCAATGCTGCTTGATATTGTGTGTGTGTGTGTGTGTGTGTGTGTGTGTGTGTGTGTGTGTGTGTGTGTTGGAGGTAGTCACTGCCACTGCCTGTTTGGTGTTGGAGTGACACATTAACTAATAGGATGGATGTGGAGCACCGACTCAAAAGCTCTGTGTGACTTTGACTCTTGTTTCTTTTTATCCATCTCCACTTTATTCCACGTCCTCACCTGGTTTTCTTCTGTCCTTGACCTGATCTTGACTGTTGACACTTTGTCAGTGACACAAACGGCAGTGCTGGAAAAAAAAACCGTGTTGGTTGCTGTTGAATCGAACACTGATCCAAGCGGGTCAGAGGTTTTGTTTGTCCTCGTTCAAAGCTTCAAGCCTCTGAAACCAGAAGCTTTCTGGCTGTGCTCCACAGATGAGACTTTATCCTTAAGATCAGAGGTGGAGAGAATCATTACCCTACGTTTCTTTCATTGCCCTATGTTCTCGCTAAACCGTAAGAAAGGCACAGGCATACACACATTATTCATCAAGAGGCTGCATAACTGTATTAACGAGCCATGAAATGAGTGTGACCAATCTGGCATCTCACCAGGGATTTGTCTGTCTTTGCAAATTAGGTGATAATTTCAGTGAGATCCAATATCTGTTTGCTGCTAATAGTTATTGCTGTGCACCACGCTGTTGATGTACAGTAAAGCATAAAATACGGGCTCGTATTTTCTTTCTTCTAACTTTGAGATTTCCTTCAAATCAGTGTCTGCTGATGGGTTTTGTCCAGTTGCTTGTTCTTGTGTTTCTCATAAAGAGCATCAGCTAACTGAAATCCTGATTAATAAATAAAGATTCTGTAATCAAACGTTCCCCATCCGCTGTGGGAGAATTAGCTTTGGGTCATCTGTTACCGCTGATGAAATTGAATTTGTAATGTGCAGACCTCCTCTTCTACATCTTCTAATCGATAGCAGCAGAGTGGTTCTTTAGCAGTGCAGATAACGGCTTTTATCACCGATACTTGTTGGAGATTAAGGATATGAACTGTAACGGACATCATCTGGCTCTAAGTAGCTCTGTCCGTCTGTTGGGTGATAATCTTTCATAATAATATGCTTAATCTTGCCAATGTGAGGCTGAACAGGCAGTTTTAACGAACACGTCTTCCAAAGTAATCAACAAAATATTATTTGCCATCAGTTGCACCCCTGTCTGTTCTGGCTGAAAACATGTTGAACACAAACACGGTGGTTCCATAATCTTTAAATTTTAATGTTATGACTATATTATCTGTCCGGAGAATTGTTTTGTTGGTGTGGTTTACATTCTGCCTGATGCCAATTTAAAAAAGTGCACTTCAGTAATGTACTACTGTTTCTGTTTTTTTGTTTGTTTTGGGGCTACAACACTGTATTGTGTTGTGCAACCCTGTGTTACATGATGACAATGAACGATCGGTGAGTCCTTAAAAGCATTCCATTTTGACCGCGGTTCGACCTTCTATTGACCCATTGAACATTATTCCTCCATAGCTGACAACTAGTCGCACTATTTCCCGCTCACTTCCTGAAGCACAAGAATCAGGGTTTCTGTAGCTGTTTGCTGAAACAATTTTATTTTTCCGAGGACAGTTCTCTTCTCAATGTCAAATAGTAGCGCTAAAACATTTAGTTGATTAATCGATTAGTCTATTGACAGACTGTTATTCAACAGCGACTTTGATGATTGATTATTTTTTTAAAGCAGTTTTCAAGCAAACAATTCCCCAGTTCCACCTTCTGAAATGAGAGGATTTTTTACCTTCGTCTGCCGTAGAAAGTTAATATATTGAATTCATTTTCTGACATTTTAAAGAAAATATTAATCAAGAAAACGACTCGACAATGAAAATAATGTTTAGGTTTTTTAGTTGTGTATCTCTGTCTCTTTCCACCTTTTTGTTTTCTGATATTTCTCTTAGATTTACTTTTTGTCCTGCGGCTCTGTCGTCTCTCCCTCTTGCTGCCGGGAGTCTTGTTTTCTACACCTCCTGCCAATCTTTCACATCCCTCTCTCTCTCTATTACATTTCCCACATATCTACAATATAATTGCGTTAATGCCACACTGGTGCTGTCATAATCCTTCATGGTCAGCGAGGCACTCTGAATATACCCCACAGGGTATATTAAATAATATGAGAAGGGATCGGGGTGGGAAAAGCCTAAGTGGTGACAGCACATCTCTTTTCCCTGCCTGTGATCTGTCATTAATGTTCAACTGAAGCTCTGACATTTTCTCACCCACTCCTGCAAGGCTGAACACTGAGCGACCACCCGCAACGCCTACACACATGCCCGAGCCAGAATTGTTTGTGTATGAACATCCTCAACAGCATGTAATTTATGTATTAATATCCAAACCCATTGGCCAATTACCAGCTAACGAGCCAAAATAGAAGTAAACACCCACCATTCAGTCTGAAAGGTCAGTCATATAATCTATAATCCCTGCAGCAGAAAGAGTTGAAAACTGGCAGCGGCAGGCATTTAAATTCTGGCCTGAAATTGATTATCATTGATTATCATTGATTTGTTGAAAGACGCACTAATATCGCATTATAAGTCATTATTT